TAGTGATTCTTCTGTTTACAGCCTCCCAAGAGCTGGGATTACAGGTACATGCCACCACACCCAGTCTCAATCACCATCTCAGCATGCCTTGGGGGTGGGGCCGGCATGGCAGGCTTTGGGATTGAGTCCCTGGCCCCTGTGCCTGCTTGCAGGTGCTTTAATCAGCTGAGCTATTGGCCAGCCTTAAAATTTATTTATTTATTTATTTAATTTATTTTTTTTTTTATGGAACCAGGGATTGAACTCAGGTCATTGGGCTTGCCAGGGAAGCGCTTATTCCACTGAGCCAAAAATTTATTTTTTATTAGTTTGAAAGAAATACATTTTTACAACGAATTTCATGTTATTTGCATATTCCTTCAGTGAGAACTTATGTAGTGACTTGCTCCTGAAGAATAGATTGTGAGAAGTAAAAAATAATCTTATCATGAAGAAAGCAGCATAGCTTATAGCAAGAACAGATATCCTTGAGGTTCAATGTTGAGAATGACAGGTCACATCTGTGATTTCTCTAAACCTCCCTGTATATTCATGAGGACATTCTACAAAATCCTTTTATTAGCCAAGGGGATAGCTCAGTGGTCTAAGTGCCTGCCTGGCAAGCACAAGGACCCAGGTTTGATTCCCAGTACTGCATGCTGTTTGGGCCCTTTCCCGGGCCCACTGAGTTTGCCACCAAAACCAGGTATAGTGGTGTATGCCTGTAATCCCAGCACTGGGGAGGCTGAGATAGTATCATTATGAATCAAAAAAATAGCCCTTAGGTTTTTGTTTGTTTGTTTATTTTCAGCCTCTCTGGGATTAAAGGTATGCACCACCATGCCCTGATTTAGTCACTAGCTCAGAGTGCGTGCTGGGGTGTGGAGGTGGTGGGGGTAGTGGGGAGCATATAGGATCAGCTCAGTTATTTGGCCAGCCTTAAAATTTATCAAACCCTGGTCCCTGCTCTTGCCAAAGTAGGTGTTTAGTCCACTGAGCTATCTCACCAGCCCAAAGATGACCGGGCGCCTTCCTCCCTGCCCCATTTATTTATTTGATACAAGGTCTCACTGCATGGCATGCAGTACCAGGGGTCAAACTTGGGTTTTGTGCTTGCCAGGCAGGCGCTTAGGCTGCCAAGTCATCTCTCCAGACCCTACCCTTAGTTCTTAAAACTGTTAAGGTCATGACAAACAAAGACTGTGATGGGGAAGGAAGAAAAGGAAAAAGGCAAAAGGTATATGTATACACAAGATAGTCGTACAGCTAGTTTCTCTTAGATTTTTTTTTTCTGTACCAGAGATTGAACTCAGGACCTTGCGCTTGCCAGGCAAGTGCTTACTCTACTGATCTATCTCCCTAACCCTCTCTTAGATTTTTTTTTAAAAGAAAACTTTGTTTCTAATATTGTCTGGATAAGATATCATGCTTGTATCTTGTACTCTGAATAAATACTAGGAAAACCAAAATACTTAATGGATCACCTATTGTAACTATCTTGCTAACCTGTTTTGAAACTATTGTTATGTGTATCTTTTTTTTTTTCTCTTAAAAGTAACAAGGAAAGTTTTAGAAACTGTCACAAACCTGAGAAGGCTAAGGAAATACAATGATGAAGAGCAGTTCAGTATATCTTCTGTGATCTATAAGATATCTTCTGTAGCTAAAGAATGTTAGTGGAAAAACTAGTGAAATTTGAATAAACTTACAGCTGAGCTAAAATATTTATTCGTGGATATGGGAATTATTATTGTGATACTGAAATGATTGTGTAGCCTGAAGAGGTCATTGCCCACATGTAATAAACACTGTAAATCTCTGCATTGCTGATCCCTTCGACTCTGATACACTTTACTAAACAGAAACCCTCATTTCAATGGGTGATATTTAGAATGTGTAGTCTGAGTATAATACAGTCAAATTAGAAATTGACAAAAGACCAGCTTTGAAAAATCCTGGGCTCAGGAGATGGCTGGGAGATGCCTGGCAAGCACAAGAACTAGGGTATGATCCCCAGCACTGCATGCAGTGCTGGCTTCAGAACCATGAGCATGGCGTTGTATGTCCATATTTCCACAATTAGGGAGGCTGAGACAGGAGGATCACTCCGAGTCTGAGCTGTGTAGTGCAACCCTGTACTAAATAAATAAATGATTAAAAAAAATTTTTTTACATCCCATAGACTTTTTTTTTTTTTTTTTTTTTTTTTTTTTTGAGACAGGGTCTCACTCTACAATTTAGGCTGGCCTCGACCTCACTTTGTAGCCCAGGCTGGTCTTGAACTTGCAACATCTTCCTGCCTCAGCCTCCCCAGTGCTAGGATTACAGACATGTGCCATCTCGCCCAGCCCCATAGACTTTAAAATACATAACAAATCCTTATGTTAAAAAGAAAATCAGGAGGGCAATTAGAATGTACTAGAAATTGAAAGAGAATGAACACAATACTTGCCAGAAGTTGTGGTATACAGTTAGATTAGTAGTTAAAGTTAATTCATATCATTAAATACAAGAAAAATAAGTTTCCAAAGAAATGAGTTAGGTGTGATCCAAAAACAGTTCAGAGAAGAGCAAGTAAGGAAGCCTACAAACCCATGATAGCACAGGAGAGTAAAGGATGTAAGGAAACAAAACAAAAACGCAAGAGAAAATAACACTAGAGATTAACCAGATGAGAACCTTTTTATTTTTACAGAAGATTGCTAAAACTTCTAACAGAATTAGTCATTTAAGAAAACATTAAAAGTTGCAAATCCAGTGAGCAAATATTTCCTGTAAAGGGCAAAGTAGTAAATATTGTATGTGCTCTCTGGCAATTAACACATTTTACTTTTGTGGAAAAAAAAAAAAAAAAAAAAGCCGGTATGTTGTATTCCAATAAAACTTTCTGAACTGAGGCAGAAAGAGTTCTGTGAATTTAAGGCAGTTCTGAATTCTAGTTCTCAAAAATGAAAAAAAAAAAAAAAGTAAATGAGTAAACAAAATGTTAATTCTCAATAATAGTTACCTCAAAGAGGTAAAAATAATAAAGCTTGTTATTTTTAAGTAGGTAGTGAAAAAAAAACTTTATGAACACAAAAATTTGAATTTCATTTAATTCTCAGATGCTATAAAATGATATTCTTTTTACAACCAATAAACACACACACACACACACACACACACACACACACCCCTCTCCCAGTGCTCTGGGAGGCTGATGCAGAACAATCACAAATTGAGGCCCAGCTAGGGCCTCAGTGACTCATTAGCTCGGTGACTTCATGAGACTCTTGCTTTAAATTTTAAAAAGACAGAAGAAGGGATGGAGATGGAGCTCACCTCTATCTGGGTTCAATCCTCAGGACTGTGGGAGTGGGGTGGGGTGAGAAAGAAAAAAGTAAAAGTAAAATCTTGTCTCCTCTTATACTGGGGATTGGGAATCGAGCCTAGGGCCTTTAACAACTGCCCAGGCCTGGCTTTAATTTGTCATCCTCCTGCCTCAGCTTCCCCAGTGCGTGCATGGTGACACATGTCTTTTCTTTTTTTTTTTTTTTTCTATTTTTTTGAGACATGATGTCGCTATTGTAACTGAGGCTGGTCTTGAGCTTACTACTTTATGTAACCCAGACTCCTGAGTGCTGGGACTACAAGCCTACAATACCAGGCCTGGCTAAAGCTGTCTTTTTTTTTTTTTTTTCTCACTATAATCTTTAAAAAAACGTGGCAGGCTGGACTGAAGCTAAAGATGGGGGGTTTAAGATCAGTTGTTTTCTTTCAGATTTCTAAGGCATGGGCTAGTCAGGCAGTATTTTCATAGAAAATGGTCCACATCTGAGGATTATGACAGCTTTACTTCAGGTGGGCAAAGCATCCTCGAGGCGGCTGGGAGCCCCGCGCCCCGCGGGCGCCAGACGCCGGACGCCTCAAGCTCCCGGGGCGTTAGCAGCATCTCCCCTGCCGCGGCCCGCTCAGCTTTACACCTGGTCCGGTATCGTCACCGCCGGCCCGAACGCGCGCATGCGCCCAAGCCGCCCGACCTTGCACCCGCACCTGGCAGCCAATCACAGCCCGCCCTGGGCGCGCCGCCCGGGGCGGCCCGGGGCGGGCGACGGTTGTGCGAGCCTGGGGAGGTGGCTTGGCCGCAGGCTCTCCCCGGGGAGCGCCTCCCGGCCCGGGCGTCGCAGGCAGGTCCCAGGAGCGGCGCCAGGCACAGGTAAAAACGACGCGCCGCGTGGATCCGCGTTCCCGCGGGAGGCGGGCGGGAGTCCACGGCGCCTTACAGCGGCCTCGGGGCTGCGGTCCCTGGAAAGATGCGCACCCCACGCCCGCTCGCATCCCGGACCCCGGCTCAGCGCCGCGCGCTCAGCCTCTGCCACGCCGGACTGCGGTCCCTCCTCACCCTGGGGGAAGTCTGGGGGGCAGGGGCCAGCCCTGCTCCAGAGGGACCCCCTCGCCCCTCGCCCCTCTCCCCTCTCTGCCCTGTGGTCTCTTGGTGTGCTTAATCATTTTAAAATTCATAAAGCAGTTTTATTACAGTCACACCCCCACCCCATTCTAGATAGTTTACAGGCCCCCAACCCTTAGTTTAAAGCATGTTTTTTTTTGTTTTTTTTTTTTTTTTTTTTTTTTTTTTTTTTTTTTTTTTTTTTTTTTTTTTTTTTTGTGGAACTAAGGATTGAACTCAAGACCCTGTGCTTGCCAGGCAAGTGCTTATTCTACTGAACCATCTCCCTGGCCCCAATTTAAAGCATGTTGGTCTCCTATATCTCAACGCCTTCTTTTTCTTTTCTTTCTTTTTTCTTTTTGGCGAAGCCGGGGATTGAACTCAGGCCCTTGGCGTTTCCCAGGGAAGCGCTTATTCAACTGAGCCATCTCCCCGGCCCCCTCAACGCCTTATTTTTCATATTTGCAAGCTTTCCTGGACCCTAATGAATTGCACACACCCCTCCCCCTGCTCTCCCCTGCCTCTTACTGCTAGTTTTGATTTGGGTAGTGCGCAGGTGGGCTGTTTTCTTTACTGACAATACTGGTGAGAGATAGTTAATAAATGACGCATCCAGATGGCAGCCTTAGGCTGCTTATTCTTTTAACATGTAAATATCTCGAATCTTTTTTTCTAGTTACTTCAAGATGTGACCTCCTGCTGGGAAAATCGCAAGATTTTACAAGTTTCAGTATAAGGAAGAGGTGAGAGAGGTCTCTGTAAGAGGGATCAAATTTGAGTTTTTTTGGCTTTAGTTTTTGTTTTGTTTTCTTCACTTTTCTGCTAAAACGTTACTGGTTAGTATTTCCGGAGGGAATCTGAATGTGTATTCATTTAAATAATGCCTCCTCCTTCACTATTGGGGATTAAACTCAGGTTTTCTCTTCAAGCTAGAGCACCAGCCTTTTATTGTGGTTTTCTTTTGAAACAGGATTTTGCTAAATTGTCCAAGCAGGGCTTGAAATTAGGATCCTCATGTCTCAGCCTCAGTGCCAGGGTTACAGTTGTGTGCCACCAAACCCCGATGTTTAAGTAATTCTCTCTCTGTTTTTTTTTTTTTTTTTCTTTTGGCAGAACCGGGGATTGAACTCAGGTCCTTGCACTTGCCAGGGAAGCACTTATTCTTCCTGTGTATTTGTTTGTAGGTCTGGTTTCCTTCTTTCTTTTTTTAAAAATTTTATTTATTTATGTGTGTGTGTGGGGGGGGTTAGCTCAGCACACCAGGGGGCGGGGCTGGCTGGCATGTGGTGCTGGGGGATTGAACTGCGGTCCCTGTGCTTTGCTAAGCTTGTTCAATGTAGGTGCTTTAGACCACTGAGCCATCTCACCAGCCCCAGTGGAATTTTTTTTTTTTCCGGAACTGGGGATTGAACTGAAACCCTTGTGCTTGCCAGGGAAGCGCTTATTCTACTGAGCCATCTCCCTGGCCCCAGGTCTGGTTTATTTCACTTATGAGTATGATCTTGAGTTGTATCCATTTCCATTTACCTATAAAAGTCTCAAATTTTTATGACTGAGTAGTATTCCATTGTATACCCAAAAAGCCCACCTTTTGTTTATCCATTCTCAGTTGATGGGTATTTGGATTGTTTCCATGATTAAGCTATTACAAACTGTGCTGCTATAACATCGGTGTACATATATCACTGTGGTATATTTTTAAATTCTTCTGGGAAGATAGCCAGGATGGAAGTAGCTGGGGCAAATGGGACCTCTAATCCTAAAAGGAAGCTCCACGTTGATTTCCACAGTGGTTGCACCAGTCTATACTCTCATCAACAGTGGGGAAGGGTTCCTTTTTTCTCACAGTCCTGCTTGCACTTGTTATTGGTTGATTTCGTGATAGCCATTTTTTATTTTTTATTTTTTATTTTTGTATTTTAGGAGAGGGTCTATAGGTGTTCAGGGTCTCACTACTACATCAGACTCACAGTGATCTGCCTGTTTACAGCCTCTCAAGGGCTGGGATTACAGGTGTGTGCTACTACTCCCAGTCTCAGTTGCTATCTCAGTGTGCTCTGGGGGCAGGGTTGGCACGGCAGGCCTGGGGATCGAACCCCTGGCCCTTGTGCCTGCTTGCAGGCGCTTTATTATGCTGAGCTATTTGGCTGGCCCTGATAGCCATTTTTTGGGGGTGAGATGGAATCTCTGTTGTTTTCATTTGCATTTCTTGAATGACCAATGATGTTGAGCAGTTTTTCATATATTTATTTGCTGTTTGTATTTCTTCATCTCAGAAGTATGTATTTATCTCAGATTCTCATTTTTTGGATTGGGTCTTTGAATTGTGGGGGCCTGATCTTTTCAGGTCTGTACATATTCTAGATACTAAGTCCATTGTCTGAGGGACAAGTTGTCATAGTTTTTTCCCCACTCTATAGGTTGTCTTTTCACTTTGTTGGTTATTTCTTTTGTTGTGCAATAGCATTTTATTTTATTTTATTATTTTTTTTCAGAACAGCAATAGCATTTTAATAAAGTGAGATCCCATTTGTTGATTCTTTGCTGTATTTCCCTTGTGTTCTTGGTTTTTGTTCTTGAATTCTCAGCCTCTACCTATGTCTTCAAAATTTTTATCTATTTTCTCTTCCACAGGGGCCTGCTGGGTAGCTCACTTGTTTAAGTGCCTGCTTATGCAAATACAGTCAGGTGCAGGATATCGCAGTTTGATCCCCAGCTCCACATGCTTTACCAGACCCGCCCTTAAAGCAGCCTGAGCCAGCCAAAAAAAATCTTTCTATTTTCTCTTCCAGTATATTTAGTGCCTCTGTTTTAATATTTAGGTCTTTGATCCATTTTGATTTCAGTTTAGTGTGTTGTGTTAGACATGGCTCTAGTTTAGTCTTCGGCATGTGGAAAACCAGTTTTTGCAGCACCAGTAGCCTTTGTTATTCTAGGTCTCTTATGGTTCCAAATGAATTTTACAAATGTTTTATCCAGATCTGTGAGATATTGTTATTTTGACTGGGATTGCATTAAATGTGTATAACAGTTTTGGGAGTAGGACCTTTGCTCTTGTTCTTCCTATCCATGAACAAGGGGTAGTGTTCCATTTTCTGATAGCCTCTTTGCTCCTTTTTTTTTTTTCCTGTTCTCTTTGAATTTTATACTTAGCAAACATACCTTTGAAAACTAAAAGTAAGATTTTCTAGTTATACAAACTTGAAATACTTTAATACCTCCAGAAGTAGCATATAGGAAATAACAAAGAGCATAATTTAAAAGGCAAGAGAAGTTGCAGTATGCTCCTGGATGAACAATAAAGAGCTCTCAATATGATA